TTATCCAGTTTATAGAGGTATCTTGCATGTGTGATTTTACTTTTCAGGTTTATAGAGGTATCTTGCATGTGTGATTTTACTTTTCAGGTTTATAGAGGTATCTTGCATGTGTGATTTTACTTTTCAGGTTTATAGAGGTATCTTGCATGTGTGATTTTACTTTTCAGGTTTATAAAGGTATCTTGCATGTGTGATCTTATTTTCCACGTTGGTAGAAAACCTTATTTGTCAATATAATTCTACTACTTTCAAATAGGTGAGGATCTATCCTGAAAGAGCAATTTTTTAGGGGTTGGTAAGAAACCTGTCATGCAAGTTCAATCTTACTTTACTTGTAACAAAAAAAAAGAAGTTATTCAGATTAATTAAAACAACCATTATACATATGTAGTAAAAATTTTTTGTTTTTAACATTTTTAAACAATTTAAGCAGCAAACATAGTCTAGCTTTATTTCTTTTGTTTTCTACAAAACCTATTGTGGCTGTATAGTTCAACTACACAGTCAAGTTGGAAGGAGAAATCCATTCCACTAATATAATCTTTAATTTTTAGCAGTGACAAATAACTAGTCTTTACTTTATTTCATGCTTATGTAATACGAATATTAAAAATACATTGTATTTAGCCTAATTTATAACCTACCTATAAACTGAATTTAAACTAATGGATCTAAGATAAACTCAAGTAAACAATATAATCCTTAAAACATGAAGAGACGATTAACTACTCTTCAGATTGTATTTGTTTAATTTGTTAAATGGGTTGCCTTTGGATGTTGTGGAGGCAATAAATTTAAGTGAGTTTAAGAGAAAGCTTGATAACTATGTGAATGATAAGAGTTTAGTTCAGAGGATGGGACAGCGAGATGGACCAATTTACTTTATAAATTATAGTTAAACTGAGATCTTAATTAATTTGTAAATTAAGCCTAAAATTCTGTATTGTATTTTTAGGTAAAGTGAACACTTATTTAATAGGTTTAAGCATACTTTCATTTATAGATGGACAAAATATCAAGTATTGCTGTTTGGGCCTCCACATAGCAAGAAAGTATGTGTACATATGTCACTATTATGAAAAAAACAAAACAAGTTTTTACTAACTGTTTTATTTCACTATTCACAAGTCCAATGTTTTCTATTACTAGTCAATTATGAACTCCACTTTCTAATCAAGACTTGATTTCTTGTTTTCAATAGGTTGGTATTAGATCCTTTACAATAAATTTCTTGACATAAATAATGGACCAGTATTGGCCTGAAAAAAAAAGAAGAAATATTTATGCAATCTATCCTGAAATGTCAGAATAAAAGTGAGTTATTACATGTAAAGCACACAAGAGCAGCAGAAACTGCCTGTAAAAACTGTTTCCAAATGCCACCATATCATTTGAAAGCATAATGGTTGATCTTACACTGATTTTTTTTTGTTTAATGAATTTGTACCGTCTTTCGACACAATAAGAAATAACAGTCTTGTTTTTAACAGCAAGTAGATGTACATTTCCTTTTTTGTTCCTTCTAATGATATATCTTGGAGAAAAAATAAAAACTGATAAAAGGTCTTATTCACTCAGCTGCCAAGATGTGTTGAATTACCAAGAATAAGCAGTCACTAAAAGCCTCCAACACACAATTCAGTTTAAGAATATTCAGTGCAGAAAGTTTACATATGAAATTCACTCAAAAATTATTGTATGTATATTTCATTAATATAAATGTAACTGAAAATCTCTCCTCCTACATTAAATAAAATCATTTAATTATAACCAAAACTTTTATTATGTATAGTACCATGGTTAATATTCTCAGAACAAAGTTTTTTACTGCCTATTCAACAACATAAAACTCAAAAGAACTAAAGATGACAACTAGGCATTTCTTGCTTTAACATCATATTTGTTATCTAAGTTCCTAACAATTGTTTTTTTCTAACATAGGTACAACTGTAAGATAATAACAAAACACATAATGTTTACACTTAAAACAATGAGACCATACAGAAGGTATGTACCAGACACTGAATATATGCTAGTATTTTTGTACGAACTTTTTGGGGGTCACATATCAAGAACTAAAAACTATTAAAATACATATAAAAACATAAATAAAATGCCTTACTTTTCTGCTATGAGAATAAATCTATTTTTTCACCTCAAAGATAGCATGTTTAATTTTGTAACCTAGTGTCTGTGATACATCAACAACCAAATATGGCATGTTTAATTTTGTAACCTAGTATTTCATGTGTCTGCCATACATCAACAACCAAATATGGCATGTTTAATTTTGTAACCTAGTATTTCATGTGTCTGCCCATGGAATATTAGGTTACAAAATTAAACATGCCATATTTGGTTGTTGATGTATTGTCTGACATACATGAACAACCAAATATGGCATGTTTAATTTTGTAACCTAATATTTCATGTGTCTGCCATACATTAACAACCAAATATTGCATGTTTAATTTTGTAACCTAGTATTTCATGTGTCTGCCATACATTAAAAACCAAATGTGGCATGTTTAATTTTGTAACCTAATATTTCATGTGTCTGCCATACATTAACAACCAAATATGGCATGTTTAATTTTGTAACCTAATATTTCATGTGTCTGCCATACATTAACAACCAAATATTGAATGTTTAATTTTGTAACCTAGTATTTTATGTGTCTGCCATACATCAACAACCAAATATGGCATGTTTAATTTTGTAACCTAATATTTCATGTGTCTGACATACATTAACAACCAAATCTTGCATGTTTAATTTTGTAACCTAGTATTTCATGTGTCTGCCATACATTAACAACATAAATATTTTTTTTTACTACGAGATTTCTCTTGGTTTGACTTTGACGAATGAGTGGTATTTTCATCTTTTCACTAGACATTTTACCAAAGCATAGTGACTAATATGAAAAAGACTATACAATAATATACTAATAAATACTCAATAGTCAAGCATTTCCATTACAAAGTTGTTGATGTACCCACAACTGTAAAATATGTCTTGAGGAAACATAAATATTAAATAAGATACACAACAACTAAAAAACTGGATAGAAAAGAACAGTTAAAATATGTTGGTACTTCAAACCAGGTTAACACCAGTGAAATGTTGAAGCACTTTAACTATTTCTTTTATATTCTATTTTTTATCTTTTTCTTATGTATTTATTACCAAAATTTATGAGGTACTTCCCAGATTTCAAACATAAATATTTTCACACAAAAAGCTGTTATATAAGTATCACATATAAACACAAATAACTTAGGTATAAAAAACTGTAGATACTGACTAATTAAAACTGAAAATCCTTGTAGCTGAATATTACTTTGAAATACAATCAAAGCCACTACAAATAATTAATATAAGACAACCTATGACATACATTTAACCCTAATGTTGTGTGGTCAATGAATGTCATAAACACTCTCCAGATAAAGTTCAGGTTTGTCATATCCCATTTCTTCTGGTGTGTTGACTCCCAGTTCATCTAGAATAGGCCGAACCTCCTGGATGATATATGGGTAAATCTCTTTTACCCGGTTACCACATTTATCCTGCATTATAATAAAAACTATATAAACATACATGTGGTACAATATAAATTCTAAAACTATAAAGTTAAGCAGTAAGGTAAGCTTATGCTCTCTGAATCTTGCAATAATGTCCACTTGATTAATACTAAATTTTTATTCTACACTTGAAATGAAAAAAAAAAAAACTTATGTGAGCAATTTTTACACCTAATACATGAAGAAAGCTTGTTTATTGATTTACACTCTCATCCTGATTAACTTAGTTAATCTACCCATTTTAAATATAACATTTCACACCTCTTAAATTATACTTATATTGCTTTGTTTTCATATCAATTAACAATTGAAAATAAGATACTTTATCCTAAATAGTATATCATCATGTCTAACATTACAGTGTGATATTACTACAGTAAATCCCTAAACTCAGAGCCCACTAGTAACTGCATCATACATTACACTTTCATATTCATTGAAACATTGTATATACATTAATAAAAAAATAACACAGATAATACATTTAAGTCTTGCAATTACAGAGTTAAAATAATAAAACTATACAAGTATTAGGTCATATGAATAAGTTATTTTATATATATATATATATATATATATATATACACAACCCCACCATCACATTTATTTACTTAATCAGCATTCTAATGTCATTTTATATCAGGAAAATCTACAGAAATGTAACAGAATTACTAAACACACACCATACTGTTCCTAATAATTATTTTCAAACAAAATGTATGTGGCAACAAACAGCTGTAAATAATAATCCTGATAGTTATGGTATTTTCTACTCATCATTTTCAGGAACAACACAAGTCTTACAAGCCACTTTACAAACAGGTGCTTAAAAAAAGTATATTCTCAAATGCTCTCTGCAAGCACACAGTTGTTTTTTAGATCATGAAATGATCTACACAAACTGTGCTTCACTTGGCTAATTTCTATCAGAGATATACAAGTTTTACTCTAAATGTTAATGGATAGAACCCAATTAAAAATGTAACTGTAATACAGTTTTAAAAAAGGAAATTACTGAGCATAAACTGGCAATGATGTTCATTCACCAATTAATATCATTTGTTTTTAAAACCATGTTGTGGAAAATACTTTTTGGCTTACATGTTGGTTAGTCATATTTAGGCATCATTAATCTAAATAGCACCTTATGTCACATATACAAGTAGGCTAAATGACCAGTTCAGAGGCCTCTATGGTACAACAGTAGCCATCCTTAATTTATAACTGCTGATCAAACTGACCATAGGACAGGTGATCAGCCAACAGCACTACCAATTAATATTCAATTACTCTTAACAAAATAAAAGAATTAACTGTCACAGTTATAATTCCCCAACAGCTGAAAGAGCAGTGTCTATGTGTATCCAGCAGCATATCGTGGCTCGAACTCTGAACCTTCTATTTGACAGTCCAACATGCTAATCAACTAGACCATTATAAGTTCTTAATCTATAAATCAAAGAAACTCATAATATTCAAACAAAAGCAAATTCAAAAAAGCTGTGTAACATAAAACTTTATTGCATTATAGATTTATCATTGTTGGAATATTTTGCATTTTTTTTTATTTAAAGATTAATAACTGGTCATGGGTTAGTGATGAGTATGCTGGACTGTCAAATAAAAAGTTAAAAGTTCAATCCCAAACCTGCTTTTATGTTTGTATATAACTCATCCATATAAACCTATCATGCAACTAGCCTAATTTATTACACATAATTAAAGTAATATTATTTTCTTACTAACTAAGGTAACTAGTTTTATACATACATATATGTAAAATTAATTAAAACTGAAGTATTTCCATGTTACCATACAAAACAATAAGGTTTATGACAAATTCAGTGTGTAGCTAATAACAGTAAAAACAGAGAAACTCATTACTTTTAGTATGATATGCTCTGAAATCTACTTTGCAACTAATCAAATGATGACTTACCTTTTAATCTAGTTTATAACACTCCAGTTTTCTACATGAAGTGAGTGTATTACTATATTTGCTATATAAATGTATCACTACAGCTGGATAATTCAGAGTATACAAGTCCCATCTAAATTATAGTTAAGAGTAATTAAAGACCACTTTACAACAAATTAGCTTCATGAAACATAACATATAGTTTCACTTCATATGAATGTTTTTAAAAACTGTGCAACATTATGAAAAGAGTAAATACAGAAAACTAGAAAGAAATCCCCAACAAAGGGATCTCTGTCACTCAGTACACCCATGCATATTTGGCCACAATACTAACAATAGAAAAAATATTCTCAAGAAGTGCTAAAGATTCTTTTGTTTCAATAATTATTCTTTTGAACAAAAATGTATAATTTTGTTGACAAATGCTTTATTAGGCTTGTATTGTTATATGAATAGTACACAATATGACAAACTATTTCTGTGGAAGACTGAATTAACTATATATTGCAGGTAGCTAAAACAATTTATCATAATTATAGCAGAAAAACATGTAAAATCAAAAACAGTTTTCTTGGATTGCCAGCTCATCATAACTTAATGTGCACATATTCAACATAGTAAAAAGACTGTGAGGCTAAATTAATATGAAAACAAGAAACTGGTAGTTATGTTCATTAGATATTTTTTGGACTCGACCATTTTCCTTACTGAATGTTAATTTCTGGTTTCATACTTTTGCATATACATTGTCTGATTATTTTATTAAGACCCCTTCCCCAAATGTTTATATATAACACTCCATTTATTTGTATGTGCAAAATGATTTTATGATGTGCCACTTTGATTACTAAAGATGTAAATGCAGAAATGTAGTAATGTTTGCAAGACAATGGGTAAATGCAAAGCCCTCTCTGACTTTCAAAGAAACATAATGATGACTACTTGGTGGGAGTATCATTATCAAAGTAGAAATGGTCATCAGAATCTTCTATAGTGGATGAATGGGGACACTCTATGACAAGTAAAAACTTAGCTACAATTTGCTAGTGGTTGACTGAGGGGAAATGCAATTAGGCAAATTAAAATGTTACCTGGATGAAAAATTAATTAATATTTTCCTAAGCAAAGGCCAAATGCAACAAATAAACATTTTCAACTTGCGTATTTAAGGAATATGATTATGTAGCCCACACGTATATAACAGTTTTCTAAAATACAAAGTAGTTGCACCCATCTGTCTTTATTGTTATATTTGAATCCTAATTGGCTGAAACTTCCAAACATTTAAAAGGTAATCTGAAAGTTAGTTTGGTTAAAAGAAAAGTTTATTTCTAAAAATGTTATCAAACTTGTATTCTCTATCTTGTGAATAGTATAAAATTTTTAATTGCTGGTTCTTTGAGATAGTTAAGAACAATAAAAGGCAGTTTCCTGATCTACTGTGTTTTTTCAAATTAACTATTTCACTGAAACTAATCCAAAATTCATTTCCACACAGCAAAAGAATTCTATTTGATGAATTGTTACCTGTAAATGTATTTGATTTAAAGACTTTTGAATTATACTTTCTAAGTTTTTTGATTGTTGTTAGACCACTGTATTCTATATTTTTTTCCCCCATTTCCTAGTGACAACATTTCAGCATAACAAAAGTTGTAACATTTGTCATTTGCAGTCATCATATGAAACACTCTAACATGGTGAATAATTGCAAATACACTTCTGAACTTATATAATTAACTTCCAATAAGAGCAAGCTACTATTTAGGGTGAAACTAACAAGTTTTTAACACAAGCCTCTGTTGTATATATGGAATATTACACATAGGTATGTAAAAGTAACAAAATTACAGAACGTTTATAAACACCTTTTGCATTCCTATCTGCAAATGTTTAGAAAAGCAGCTTAAACCAACATGTAGATATATTAATTTTTACAGTTATTTTGATCATCAAGTATATAAACAAAGATATACTGAAAGTTAATGTATACAGTGTGTATTTATAATATTACATGTACTAATAACAAGCTTTCATAAAGCAAATACACAACTCTTAACGTCTCAATCAAAATTTAGCTAAATTAAGCATATGCTTATCAAGAAATGCAAATTAAACCAGTCAATTTTCTTTCACTTTCCATACAAAAAAATAACATTTTTCTGATATCAAAGATTAATTTACTAACATGTTGTTTGAGAAATTAGCTCCTCAAGTCACTGGATCCCAAAATAACACATGTAACAGGTCTTCTGGCATCAATAATGAAGACATATTAATATAATTTATTTGTATAAATAGTAATATGCACCACAAGGGTAGTCAAATTTTGTATATAGTAAGAAACAATTCAATGATTTCTTACTCTTACCTACAACAAGTTTCTTCTCCCTTTCAGTGCTCTTACATTATGAACACATGCATCAAATTTACCCATACTTAAGATTTAGAAGCAGCTTTGTAGAGAATCTTACCTTCACAGCTTCCAAAAATCTAACAGCCAGAGCATAGTCATTCACTCGACGACAAGCTTTAAGAGCAGCACTGATTATCTTGGGTTCTGGAACAAGATCCATACCTTGTAAGTCATTCATTGCTTTACGAACATCCCATCCATCAATATCTGACCGGTTAAAGTAAGCTTCATATCTTGCATCAAACTCTTCCTCAGTTTCTGATGAATGTTTTGACATGGATCTGATGCACACAGCTGAAACTGAGTATATATGGTGAAAAAATGTCAATATCAAGAAGAATCTGGAACTTTTAATATACCTTTTCTACTAAAGTATCAATGAATATTACTACAATAGTACTGTGCTAACAGTATATCAATTAAAGCACAGATTTAGAAGCTTTGGTTGTTCTTAGCAAATGTAATGTCATTGGTATTGCTGAGTCACAGTTAAATGAGGATTACAATATTTTAAGTTGTTTTGCAAGACCACAAACAAAAGAGGGGAAGGAGTGACTTTTTTAATCAAAAAGCACCTAAATGCTTACGACTTGTGTGATACCTTACAGGTTCATAATAATGCCTTGTATGTGCGTTGAGTTGTTAAATAGGAAAGGGAATAAAATGCCTTTTGGCATTTCTTTTACACACCTCCTGATCATGAAAGTGACTGAAGGGAATACATAATACAAGCAGATTAGTTATATTGTTAACTCTTTCAACCTGGGCTCAGTCCCTGAGACCGACCTCATAACCATTTCATGTTTGTTATAGTTTTCACTCTATAACTTTTAAATTAGTAAGCAAATGTTAACAAAATTTAGCAGTTTATCAGTAAATATTACAATGCTTTCATATGTAACTATCTAATTTTATTTCATTAAGACTTAAGGTTTGTACAGCAATGTTTCTCTCATGCCTTTTTTTCTTTTCACATCTTGCCTAATCTATCATGCAAAGTAATTTTCATTTGAATATTAGAAATACTTTTATGCATCAAGAAATTTCGAAATTTCACATGCAAAATCTTTATAGTGTCCGGATAGTTATCATACATTTCTTAAAAAAAAACTATATATTTTATCTGCTAATTTTCAGTAATTAAACTCTGTACTGGTTTGG